TGTTAGCAATTCATCTTAACATATCCTAATTTAAATTTAGTACTGCAATTTTATCTTATTAGACGGAAATTATATCTAGAGACGTCGAGAATGTACTTTTATATCTTTAGTGCAGGCATGTGCATACTTGCGACCTGGTTTTAAAAATAAATTTACCTCATACGGTGTGACATTTAAAAATCGTTCTACGGCTCACGTCATGGAGGAAGTTGAACGGTCCTGCTTTAAAGCATATCGAAGTTACAAATTTGACTGATCTGATTTGATTAAAATATTTATGATACAGAAGACTGCAGAGTTACTGGGGCAATCGTTATGTAAGATTCTTCTATACTATGTTAAAAGCGATGAGAATATCCGATGCGGATGTGTAACAAAAACACTATTATGATAATATATTATGATAGTATAAGTTGTATTATTTTGTGACATTTTTTCTTCAATCTGGATCGTATTAGAATGATCGTAAATTTTTATACGAAACTCAGCGTACCTCTGACCCTTCACTGTCAAGGTCTGTATCCATCCGGGGATTTGTGGCAGGGGATTCTGCGCAACTGGCATCGTCTGAGTCTACTGAATACCCCGCTGTAAGGTGTACATAATATTAGTCTATCTTGAACAAATAAGGAGGTGCACACACACACACACACACACACACACACACACACACACACACACACACATATATATATATATAATATACGTTCATTTTTTTCTTCGTTAGCTTTACATTGTGAGAATCGTTCAATATTCCCCGATATTGAACACCTTCATATTGCACTCCACGCGATTGAAGCACGTGAGCGTGCGGTACGATATGAAGTTAAAAGATCTGTGGGAATAGCTATATGTGCACGAATACTATTATTGTGTATTAAAGAAAGCTACGAATGTGAACCTTATTATTTTAAAAATAAAATAAATTTTATTATTAAATATATTTGGTTGTGAATTTTATTATTAAATCTTTGGTAATGAAACAAAAATGAGCATATAATAAAAAGGTTACTGCATTTGAATGAAAAAATATGAACTTGTTTTGTCAGATGGATTCTCAGCAGTATAGCCATCCGAAAAACTCGTTCATATATTCCCATAGAAATGCAGTAACCTATATATATATATATATATATATATATATATATATATATATATATATATATATATATATATATATATATATAACAAAAAAAATCCTCCAAAGAGACGTGATCATTATTAAGGACAAAAGCCATATACATTATCTTCGAAAGCAACAAACCTTTTCCAAGGTGCATTTGGTGAAGTGCAACCATTATCACTCTGATATAACTGATGCAATCACGTTTATCACAGTCAAGTGTAATTATACGGAAATCGGGCGTTACTTTGTGATATAGTACCAATCTAATCATGATCATCAATTACAACCGTAAAATATAAAAATATGATCCGTACCTTTGCTCCTCTTTTTAGACTTCACACGGCGATCGTCAAGAAACCGATAAACTTTAAATGCATTCTGTCCTTTTCTCATGCCCTTCGACTTTTCCTCTACTACATCCGGCAGGCTGTTTAGGGCGCACCGGAAGTTGGCTTTCCATCTTTTGGCGTCTGGCTTGTCTCCATCATAAAATTTCCCTTAATAAAATATAAATAATTGCTAGTCATCAGAGTGCACCGGAACACTTGCAAAATACAAACCATTTTGAAGTGGGCAATAGTCATATATCTTGACAGAATGTGCATCATTACAAAAATAAATGACATGTACATACTCAATATGGCAAGAGATAGTCTGATGGTAAAGGGTCAGACGTTTGTTTGTATGTTTGTTGGTGCCTTTTAATAAAACAGTTGTATTATACAACAGCTGCGACACTGACTGTTTCACGGTATAGGTAGGTATACTGCATGTGTTGTACAGCATCAATGTATAAATTAGTGATATAAAAGTCGGCCGTATTACGCATTAGTTTATTGAAGATTTGTCAGTAATAAATGATTCTGAACTTCAGCAGGTGCAGAAGACAGGCTAGTTACTCCATCTCACACAGATTCCCCAACCAAAATCTTTATTTTATGAGGACAGCATTAAACCTACCAGTGTGCCTTGCCCACTTCTCGAAGAGGCAGGCGTCTTTAGCCATATCCCAACCTTGACGGGCCGCATGTCGCCAAGTGATTCGAAACATCTTTTCCCGCTTGTTTAGCCAGGAGAGTTGAGACATGGTATCCTTGTCAAGAAGCTCGATGAGCCAAGGACGCATTCGCTGTCTTTCAAGGGGCCGGATTGGCTTTCTGACCAGTTTCTCCATCTTCTCTTTCACTGCAAGTCTCTTTGATTTTGTCATTGTTGTGCCTGAAGATAAGAAATATTGTAATATCAACAATGAGTGATATCATTATGTATCTAGGCGTGTAACTCGATGGCAAGAGACATCACCACAGTTTTCACCAAAGAGAAAAGGGTCATATCTGCATTTAATCAAATGCAAGGTTTACTACCATGTATTTATTTTTAGTTAGAAAACTTTAATTGTTTATTTCCTTTCTGTATTAAAAAAAAATGGAAATTTACGTTTGCAGCAGAGTTAAACCAGGTACCGTACATCGCCCAATATCGAGGTTAAAATATTAGAATACCTCGTCCGGAACTTGCAGCGGTGCATTTTGACCAGAGATATTCGACGGATAAGTTGTCCAAATAATTCGTTCTTCAGTGTGATTTTAATTACGATAACGTGATATGCTGTTAGACTTTGCATATGTCAATAAATCCATTTCAACTTACCGATCTTACTGATGACCTTTTTGGCGCCATCTATCTATAACCCAAACGTTCTTGTTTTAATTTTTCATTTTACAGGGGTTTGTAGGTACAGATTGTATTTCTAAAAGGGTGGCGTATTGATTCCTTTGAACGAGCTGGCAACGTGCCCGCGGCCGCGAGTCCAATACACGACATGTACATGAACATCCAGACGAGTTTCCTTCGTCATAGCTATGTATTTAATATCATTTAGGTCAATATTGTTTAAAAGTGATCCAAGTTTATCTTAGTACAAGTTTACACATAGAAACTTATCACGAAGGTCGTAATATAAAGTCCAGATAGATATTAAATCATATATATACAACTACATGTACTGGTAATAAGGGAAGAAAATAGCTGATATAACTGATCTGTTCAAAACTGCGCATGTCAACTGATAACGAAATATGAAACTTTTACAAAACGACCCGGCGCGACAAGGAAGTGTAATAAGTTCATTATTCATGTTGTTGGAAGATATCCCGGGCAGAACTAAAGAGCGGCCATATTGAATTTAAATTACCCCGGGTAGGAAAGTTTTGAAATTAAAGCATGATATAAGAAATAAAACTGAGCTATAATTATGACATCATTCAAAACCATGTTTGTGCCTAAATCATTCATTTCTGAATGTCATATATGAATTACATTATCAAAGAAATAACCACAGTGTTTGTAATAAAACGTTTTCCCCGCTAACATAGCTAAAATTACACATCAGACTATTCCATTACATATAACGATATCCAGAGCTTTAATAAAAATTGTTTGCAAAGACACAAGATCTGTTTTGTAGACAATACTACTTTCAGGCCCTGTGACAACCAACTGATAACATTCGACTGCAAGGCATGAAACACCAGCAAGTAAGAACTAGGAGGAGGAGGGGTTTGTATTCATGATAATTACAGTTAACATATCTCGTATATTACTAACGTACTTTTTGATGGTGCACCTAAAATCGCTTAACTGTGTGAGGCTGATCGTGTGTTTGCCTGTAATAGGGCCTACGTGCGAACGTTTGCGTGCATGTGCAAGTAAGTGTTACTGCTGCTGCCGTCGTAAAATATGCAATTCAATTGCGTATCAAAACTAACAGCTCGTTATGTCGCAAGTTTAATTCTTGTATGCACACTTGTGTTTTGTATATAGTATGCACTTTCGAGATATTGCAAAAGCAGGCCCGGCCCTAGGGCAAGGCGAACGAAGCAACCGCCTTGGACACTGCGCTTCTCCACAATGCAATTTTTGTTTTTGATTGGGGCTCCGCTCTTATTGCTTCCTGCCTTGGCACCCGCACATCCTAGGGTCGGGCCTATACACAAGCAGCTGTAAAGACTGTATCATACTGAAACAAACATTTGACGTGCTTCTGAAAACATATAAACGTAGTGTTGTCTACCAAGTTTACCAATAAATGAAATGTCTTAATAAAAATAAATGTAAGAGAAAGTCTACAATGCTGAGTTTAAACTACTTACGTGTACTCGTTGTAAACAAACGGTATTGACGTTGGAGGGAGATAAAATTCCAATCAAGTTTTCGATGAGGATAATACCGAAATTGTTCACGATCTAAACATTAAACAAATTGTCTTTGGCTTTTATATACGTCGTCCGTTATCATGTGACTTCAACTATTGTTTTATTCTGGGAATCCCGTTCAAAAGCATAAAGACGAATGGTGACCTAAAAATAACTGCTTTTCCCAGTAAGCTATATTTATCACTATACTTAGAAAAGGCGGAGTTCATTGCAAAAGAGGCTCTCACAGGGATTCAAAGAAAAATCAATTTGGGTGACATTACGAGTCTCTGAGACATATGGTACTGATGTTTGAAACGGCAAGAATGTTAAGAAAACACTTAGAAAACATACCAGAACGAAGTATATACATACATGAATCAATACTATTTACGTGTCACATGCGTCCGCAAATAAGGCGCTGATTACTTTTACTGATGTGTGTTTTGGATTTTTAACTTCGCTTTAACATTTTTCTTCAGTCATACCGCTACGATGTTTGCAGTGTGGCAGTTTATAGTGATATCTAACACTGGGGCGACTAGCAGCAGACATGTAGCATCATGTCCCACCCAATCACATTATTTTGACACCAGACCAATCAGTCATTACACTAAACTCTTAATGCTGAGAGTCAATCGAGACAGCTGCTAGTACCATTTTTTAATTAAGTCTTTGGTATGACTGGGCCGGGATTTGAGCCCGCTACCACCCGCATTCGAGGCAGACCCTCTAACCACTAGGACACCAGAACAGTCACTTTTACTGTAATTATACGAACAGTACTGAAAAAATTAATTAAAAAAAGTTATAAATTAATTAGTTAAATATTCAATATTCCTTCGATTGCTTTGAACCAATCATAATTCCGCAGAAATCTTAGAATTTGTGTGCCCTGAGTTTGAGTAACCAATTGCAGAAGATAGGTTGCAACAAACTAAATGAAATGTGCGCAGGTGTGAAAACTCTTCGGACAGGACATTATTCTGACACCAGGTCGACTAGTCCTAACACTGACCTCATCATGCTGAGCGCCAAGCGAGGCAGCAGTTAGTACCATTTTTATGTTTTTTTATGACTCGGCCGGGGATCGAACCCATGATCTTCCGCATCCGAGGCGGACGCTCCAACCACTAAGCCACCTAAGCGGTTACCCCTTTGAGGTAAGGGATCATATAGATGATGATCTCACAAGCGTGTAAATCACAGCTTTTGTTGGTTATTTTATCCCCGCGCATTTTAATTTTGTTGTTACAAAAATACTTGTGATATCACAGAAATGTTGTCAATAACCCGAAGTTTTGTTAAGCAAAATAGTTTAAAGTTTTTAAGGCTTCATTGCACTTTTGGACATTCGTCAGTGTAATGCATATAATTTTCAAATAGGTTAATGAATGCAATTATTTACTTAAAGTATTCATTATTTAATTTTTTTATTTATTTATTTATTTATGCGCCTATTTATGTGAGATTTTTACATAAAATGTAAGAAAAGTTTACGCAAACAAAACGATGGTTAGAGATTATGCTCTAGTTTAACTGGCTTGATTATTTAATAAAAAATAATAAAATAGTTCTTTTGTGGAAAATTTTAAAAATTCAGATGAAATTATACAAAAATATGGTTTAACAGTTAGTTTAAATTTTAAATACTTGGGCAAATAAATTATATTTTCTGTAATTTAAAAGGCGAGCTGTGCGGTGGTGTCGTAATGGCGAAATGGCACACAAAATGAATATAGCGCCGATTCCAATCGTAATGGAAAGGTCCTAAGAATCAAACCTTAGAATTGTTTGTTCTCAGAAACAGTCGAATGATGCCATACGATTTAGTTTTTGTCATTATTTCCACTGTTTCTTTAGATCACTAGCCTGCACAATCTTAATCTTTCCGCAAATCTACGACTGTTGGAATGTGTGTGTGTGTGTGTGTGTGTGTGTGTGTGTGTGTGTGTGTGTGTGTGTGTGTGCATTAGAATTGAGAATTTATGGGAGTACACATTTAAATATGCACAGTTCTTATCATTTATAGTTAGCCATATTTTTTCTGATTGAAAGCAAACAAAACAAATTAAGTAAAGTATGCAGATATAGGTCACCTTCTTACCCAATTACTCCTTCTAAGGACCATTGCCAGTAATTCCAAGTGTCTAACAGAAACCAGTCGTAGAAAGAAATTAACGAGAGGAGGGGGTCGAGCCACCCGTGGATAGTTATGTAACCATCCTTTCATATATGTCCATTAACACATCTCACATAACCTTGAGCGTTGGTGTCAATGCCAATTAAATCTATGTCTCTCTGTCTGTCTCTCTGTCTCTCTCAGTATTTTGTTATGTGCAGTAAAAAAAAAGAATATCTCCGATTTCAGTATTTCTTTTTCCTGTTAGATTTATTTTTGTGCCAATGTATGTATGTATGTATGTATGTATGTATGTATGTATGTATGTATGTATGTATGTATGTATGTATGTATGTATGTATGTATGTATGTATGTATGTATGTATGTATGTATGTATGTATGTATGATTTACGCACTTGGAATTAGATCTTAGCCTTACGACTGTTTAAATTAACTGAAAACCCAGCGGAAATATTGGATTCTATCTTTAGTAACTATGGTTTACTTTATTTATGTACACACGCTCCTTAATTTTAAGGTAGTTCACATTCTTATTATTTAGGCGAGACCTCAATACCAAAATAAAATGTAACCTTAGATTGATACATCGTTAATTAAACACACATGTTTTCAAGTTAGCAGCAATGACTATGGCCAGAAAGTGCGGGAAAGGCGGATCCTGTTATACAGTGATTACATTTAGTCCTAAAACATTTCTCATTCCCGCCCACGGCTGCTTTTATCCCGCTGATTGTCACTTCAGTGCGGTTTGTCCGGGGGTTTTCCACCTTAATTATTTTTAGATTTTCTGACTCTAGTTCATGTAAATTTTCACAACAATCATAATGCTTTTTACGAAAGTCCGAAAATATTTACTGCGTAATAGAATATTAATTTTTTTAAATCCGTTTGTTTCAATGTCTTTGGGATAATCTGAAACTTGGTACATGTGTTTTTGCTTATTCTAACGAACTGAAAACTTTATATATTTCAACATTGCTATAGTACCAGCTATATACATCTTGGATTTATATTCACATTGTCTACGTCTAATGAAATAAGTATATCACAAAGGTGGATGGGAAACGATGTGAGATCCCCCACTTTTTATAGTGTTATGGTTATCGTTACCTAGTAGATGATCGACCATGGTGTTATTACCCGGACTGAGTAATTAATAACATAAAATACGAAGCTAATGGATGGAATAACAGATATCTGAGCAGAGGTATAGAATAGAACAACGTTATCCCTTGTATGTAAAATATGACAATTTAACCAATTACATAAACAAAATGAAATTGAACATGACATCTGAATTATTCACTTTCTCTTAGAAATAGTTAAAAATTTATGCGAAATTCAATTAGCCATTTTATTATAATGATAAAACAGATGTTATCATATAATCAAGTTATTAATGGAACTCAAATTGCCGGCATGTCATTATCACCTGGTTGATTCCGGTCATTACCTCTTTTCCAAACCATTACTGGTTTTAGGTCGGCGTTGGATTACTTTATATAATGTCAAAAAAAAACTTAATACTCCCATCGAAGTCAGAATAATCCTCTCTGGTCCATCTTTATTAATAACTATAATGGGAAAATAATTTATGATACCATTTTGAAAAAGCCCAAGATTTCCCAAAACTTTTGTTCTGGTTTGCCTCAACTTTGTCATTTTCCGCTATATGACTTTACAATGACATACCTGTTGGACCGTTGTTGAAGAATTCTAATTAAAATTCAATTCATGCCCAGAAACAGAGAAATGCCCATCACTCGCAGTCCAGGATTTATTTCGAGTCAAGCCCATACATGAAACCAAATGTTTACGTGTCACGCTGAACACGTCAGAATGCACTGTGAAATAATTACAAATTTATTGTGCCATTACGAAATATAATAATGAAAGGAAAAGGAGGTGGGTGGGGTTGTATATATTTATTCCTGCAAGCGCATATGAGTGTATGTGTATGTGTATATTGGTATGTAAGTGCAGGCTTTAGTGAAAATGAGGTGCTTTCTTAATAATAATAATAATAATAATAATAATAATAATAATAATAATAATAATAATAATAATAATAATAATAATAATAATAATAATACAACGAATCCCCACACCCCACACCAAGAGCTGAAGAAAGTATGGCACAATATTTAATTGTACCTTAACACCTAAAATGAGATAAATCTTATATCGAGTTTCAAAAATGTTTTCCAGATAAAATATTTCGCTAAGTTGTACGAGAACTTGATTATGGTTAGGGGTTGGCGAATTACAGCACAGCAATACAAAAGGCATTTGCAGTAAAGCGCCTTGTTCAACAACATGCCACGGTAAACGAGCTGGGCTGATCCGATAGTACAGCTTGAACCAGCGCCCATTCGATCGCGTATCCGGCACGCTAACCACTCAACCACCCCAACCCGTACCTCCATTATTCCCCTTCATGACATGCAGGAGGGTGCATCAAGCATATTTTATATGCCTGAGTCTGCTCTGTGTGTGTGTGTGTGTGTGTGTGTCTGTGCGTTTGACTCTGTGTGTGTGTGTGTGTGTGTGTGTGTGTGTGTGTGTGTGTGTGTGAAAGTGTCAGTGTTGAAGCGCAGAGAAAAGGGTATGAATTGGATTTTGAAATAATCTCGTAATTTCATGCACTTCGGAAATGAATATGCAAACAATGTTTCGTATATATTTATCACTGAAAAGAAGCTCTTTTTTTGTAGCAATGAGATATGAAACTGTTACGATAATTTAAAAGAAAAAGTACATTTAACGCCAAGCTGATTGCCATGCTTCTAGCATTTAGTCAAATTCATGTACATTCATGTACTATTCATGCGTTTGTCAAAAAAAAATACAGTGAAACCGTAAATACAATATTCGATATTTCGAAATTTTTGCATGCCATCTATACTAACTCATAAATCGACTAAACTACAGAACAACACAGAACACAATCTTCCGTTGCATAATGCACCGGTAGATCAGGGTCCATGCTGTTTTTTTTTTTCTATAGATTACTCCTAACAAACTGCATAGACCTAAATCTGCAGATGTACCTTGCAACGGCAGATCTTGGATTATGCAGTTGTGGATGGATCGGTCTTAAATATGAGTAGGTGCGGTATCCAACCCGGTGTCTACAAATAGAACAATGTAACCCTTGATTCTCGTAGCGTGCATTGTGCAACAGCGAATAAGAGCAATTATAACGGCGCAGTAGGTTTTAGAACGTTCTTCAAACGTGCAATACAAGAAAAGTAACAGAATTCTATTCAAACTTTAGTACTGAATAGAATGACCGACATTCAAGGTGCCGTAAATTTGGTGCCTTCCTTCGATTATGGGGTGGGGTGCGTCTAATGTATACAAAAATACAATTACCTATTTGAACTGCATAATGAATAATATTTAATCTGGAAGAAGAATATAACATAGTTCTTTTTTAAGACAGCATTATTTGCCAAACATACCAAAAATAACTTTCTCTGCTGCAGTAACGGCCTTAGCAATCACGGGGCTTGATTTGGATCATTTTGGTGGGGCTCCTTGGATATACTCGCGGAAAACAGTGAGAACGGCATTTGGAAATAAACTTTTAAGCAAGTTTTATATGATACTGAACTTAAAATTTTATTCCATCGCATTGAAATTACTTTCTTTACACACACCACACCACACGCAAAATATATATAACGTGCGGGGCTTCTTAAAATCTTAAAATCGAATCGGTCCAATCGGCCAAAGGCTAGAGCGTCCGCCTCGGATGCGGGAGGTAACGGGTTCGAACCCCGACTGAGTAATACTTAAAAAGATGGTATTACCAGTTGACTCGCTTGGCGCTCAGCATTAAGAAGTTAGTGCTAGGAATGGTCAACCTATTGACAGCATAATGTGATTGAGTGGGACATCATTGTACATGTTTGCGGCATGATGCCACAGTGCTAGACATCACTATAAACTGCCACACTACAGACATCGCAGCGATATGACTGAAATATTTTAAAGCTACG